GAATAAGGAATCATAAATTGGAATTAATTAGAGATAAATTAATTAATGAAACCTTTAATTCCAAAAGAGATTAAAAAAATATTAGAAAGTGAAAATGAAAATAACAAAATTTAATGAATTATTTTTATAATTATTAATGTTTAATAGCAATATTATGTCAAAATATTGCACAATCCTTATCTTTCTTTTATTATTATGCTGGTTATTAAACCTCTGGTTTTTTTGGTTTTTATTCAACAGGTTTATTAATTTATTATTCTGGTTATTACCCATCATCATCTGGATTATTATCCAATTCCTCAACCATATTCCAATTACTAAAATTGGATTCTCCAAATCTATCTTTATCATATTCTTTAATTAAAAATCTAATGATTATTTTATTTACTTTACTTTTCTTCATTCTAAAGTAATTCAATTGTTAATGGTATTTTACTACTATAAAATGGACTACGAGTACTCATTGGTATTAATATCCAATCATAAACATAATCATATTCATAACCTTCCTTTACAAATCTTTCTTTAAAGATCTTTTTCAAAAATGAATAATCTGGTTTTTCATCATACCTAAGATTTCTAACATAATTCATAAATTATTAAAATTCATTAGGAACACCTTCATTATATAATTAGATGATACCTTTGCATAATTAATCAATTGGAGTTTATATTTTCTTTTCCATAATTTTTTAATATTTTTCTTCCTTTCTATTTGCTCTAATACCTTACCAAGGTAAAGTTCCTTTTAAAAAATAAATTAGCATATATCCTAAAGCTTCTAAATCATCTCTTCTTGATTATTCAAATCCTTTGTGAGTATTAATACTGGCGTAACGAGCAGTACCAATAAGAGGTTTTCCTTCTTTCAAAGGAATGTGTTCATGAGTCCTAGCATCCCTATATCGTTTAGAAAGTCCAAAATCAATTGTATAAACTATATGAGACTTCTTAGCACATCCCATAAGAAAATTCTCAGGTTTAATGTCTCGATGAACATAATTTTTAAAATGTATGTATTCTAAATTGGAGATCAATTAATCTGCAAGCATGAGGACTGTTTTGAGTGTGAATGCTCTTTTACATAACACAAGTAATTCTTCTAGATTTTAACCTAGGAGATCCATAACGAGAAAATTGAAATCATTTTCTTAACCGCACCTAAAAAAATATGAAACAAATAATTTAACCATAACATAGATGGAATACCCACTCCTCCTTATAGATTTTATAGAATCTTGCCTTCATATAATAACTATGGATGTTTAGATTTGACTTCTTCAATCTTTATTGCAACATCTTAATTTGATTAAACATTCTTTGCAAGATAGATTTAACCAAAACTACCAACTCCTATTTTTGGTCCCAATTTATATCTATATCTATAATAATATTGTTTACCTTCCACAAACTCTTAATTCAATTATACTCATTAATTAATATAATGAAGCAAACTCCTAAGATGAGTTAGGCTAGCAGTCCAAATAATAAACTCATCAATACATTATTATTGAAATCCAAAAGTCCTTCCTAATACACAATTCAAAGTCCTGCTGTATCTCCAACTTAAGTGAGTTTGCCTAAAGCTCTCTATCCACACAAAAACTCTTCAATAGATTTAACGAAATTGGCTACATTAATGAAACAATAAAAAGTGAAATAATCATCTTCAGAAGGATCAAAAGATTCAATGACTCAACTTATAGCTAAAGCTCGTGCAATTGCAATGTCAGCCAAAACTCCATCAGGCCCTATTCATATTAGAAATGACTCTGCATAAGTACGTAAGGTGAACAAGGAAGCAGAAGTTGTAAGTCCAAAAGCAACTGATATGAAATTAATTAATAAGGCAGCTTTCACTTTTGAATTTGTAATTGGTATAGGAGGATTTGGTAAAGTGTGGAAGGTAAAAAGAACAGGACAATAATTTGCAATGAAAGAGATGTCCAAAGCACTTGTTATCACTAAGAAAAGTGTAAATTCTGTTATGAATGAGAGAATGCTTCTTAGTTAACTTAAACATACATTCCTCATTAATATGTATTACGCCTTCTAAGATCGTGAAAACCTATATTTAGTCATGGATTATATGTGTGGTGGTGATTTACGGTTTCATATAGGCAGAATGCGACGTTTCAATGAAGAATAAACTAGTAAATATTATATAACATTTCAGAGTTCTTTGTAGCATCAATATTCATTGGTCTCGAGTATTTACATACAAATAATATCATTCATCGAGACATTAAACCAGAAAACTTAGTCCTCGATGAAAAAGGATTTGTTCATATCACGGATTTAGGTATTGCTCGTGTCATGAAATAAGAAAATTCAAGTGACACTTCTGGAACTCCTGGATATATGGGTATTATATTTATAATATAAATCAATTATAAGCACCTGAAGTCATGTGTCGACAAAATCATACATTTGCTGTCGACTATTATGCACTTGGAGTCATTGCCTATGAGTTTATGTTAGGAAGAGTAAATCATTATATATCCTATATCTTAGCGTCCTTATGTTGGTAGATCTCGTCAAGAGATCCGTGATTAAATTCTTGCTCGACAAGTCTAAATTAAGGCTAGTGAAGTACCTCAGAACTGGAGTGTGGAAGCTGTCGACTTTGTTAATCGACTACTTCAACGTAAACCAGCCAGTCGTCTCGGTTTCAATGGTGGCCACGAGATCAAATTACATCCGTGGTTCAAAAGCTTTCCATGGTCAAAGCTCTAAAATAGGGAATTGAAGGCTCCCTTTATTCCTAATCCAAGTGATGATAATTTTGATTAAAGACAAATTGTTATTGAAGATGAGGAAAATGCTGATCTCATTGCTTAAAACATTTAATTGTTAAGAGATCCAAATGCTCAATAATAGTTTGCTGGCTATGAGTATCAATCAAACAATGAGAAGATCTTTGTCTTTGATTAAACAAAATAATCATGAATCCTTTGACTAACATTATTTTAAATTCCTCATTTAATAATTATATAAAATTATGGATATATAAATATTATTTATTTTTTTTTACTTTGCTTGTTATAAATGAAAGATTTATTAAAATATGTAATATAATATTTCCTAATTATTTTATAATAATACAATTAGTATATTAATTAGTATAAAAAATCATTTGAATTTTAATGGAAACTTAGGTAACAGTATTCCACTTACAAATTATGGGATTAATAATCTTAATTTATAATCCAAAATCTAAGAAATTTTCTTCAATTATTATTTTGATCCTTGATATTATCTATTAATCCAGTAGTTTTTAGCCATCTTTAAATAATTAAATGATGATAAAGTTTATTTTCTTAATTTTTATTTATTATTCTTTCAAATTTAAAAAATGAAGATAATGTCATTCAATTTCTAATATTATATCCTTCTAACGATTTCAAAAAATTAAACAAATATGCTTGAAGAATATTCAAAATTATTATGCATAGTACTTTTATTCTATAATTATCACTAAATTATATTAGAATATCTAAAGTTTATAGAGAAACTATTTCACATTGTTTATAAATTTTTGTTGTGTCATAAAAGATTAATGAGCATTGTATTATTTATTTAGATGGATAATAAGAGATTTTAGCAAATTTGTATATTTTAGGAGTTTAATTTTCAATGGGAAAGTTTATTACAGTAAGATAGAGAGAGTCTAATTGAAGAATTTAATTAAATTAATAATTTTCATTTATAAATACCCCATCCGGATATGAATTATCAATTTGAGAGACATCAATAAAAATTAAATATTGTTTAAATTCTATAACATATTATTTTATCTGTAATAAATTATTTATATATAATATTTTATAAAATATGGGATGCACAATTACATCTGAAAAAGTAAATCTATAGAAAACTATGATGTTGGAATCAACATTTAATAAAGAATAAAGAGAGAAAGAATAACGCATTAAAGCTCACTTAATTTTAGATCAATATAGATAAACAAAAACAATTAGAAAGTAAGTTAAACTCCAATCTGATGTTAAGGATGCTTTGTAGGAATAATTGTATCGGAACAAAACAGCATAACCTTAAAAATCCTATATTGCTAATTGAATTATATATTCGATTATTAGAAAGCATTTCAAAGCAAGCTTTACTGTTTTGAACTAATATTTAATCAATATGTTTAAGTTCTTTTAATCTTTATTCACATTCCTTCTCATCTTTTAAAATTATTTTTGGATAAATTAAAACGTTTTATTTGCTAAATCTCTTTGATTTTCCTTAATTTAAAATATATTATTTTCAATGTTTATAATTAATTTTATTTTATTTTAATTCTATTTTTTATAAATATCCAAATTTTATAGATTTTTGAAATATTCTTCTTTTAATCTTATGATAAATAATAGATTAAATAATATATATTGAGATATTATATTTATATCTAGAATTTTGGTGAAATTTAAACGATATTTTTGTATTTTTGTTCATTTTAGTAAAACTATTAATTTAAAAAAAAAACTTTTTGCTTCATTTATATTTTAAAACGTGATTAAATTGAAAGTAATTAATATAAATTAACCACAGTTCTCATTTCTAATATTCATTATAAAAAATATTAATCATAAAATTTAATGAATATTGTGGAGACTAATCTTGTTTTGAAAGATTAATACTAATCTTGAAAAACTTTGAATTAATGATTCTGACATTTTATTTAGTGTAAAATATAGAGATATAAACTAATTTAATTGATTTTTTAATAATTGTTGTTAAAATAAACACATTTAGTAAAATTATGAAACAATTTATATAATATATTTTTTATTATTTATACATATGAATTATAGTTTATTTTTAATAATAATTCAAAAATTAATAATAATTGAGAAAATAATTATTAAAGAATTTTTAATTTTAAATCTTGAAAAGCATATATGATTATGTGCATAATTTTGATTATTATTGATTATCAAATTTGATTAATCTTTGTTCTTTGTTTATTTTATTTATTGTATAAATTAATGTTCATGGATTTTGAAGATGAAGATAATGCTTATTTGGAAGTAGGTGATAATCGAAATGTAAAATGTCGTCATTAAAATAACCACAATAAGAGAACTAATCAAAGAGAAAGCTATTTAAGAAATTGTAATATTCAAAAACGACAAGAATAAGGATATAAAGATAAATTATAGATTAATGATTAAGAAAATGAAAAATAATTAAGGAAACTACAACAATAGGAAAAGAAATTGAAGGTGATAGAAAAAAGAATTTAAAAATAAATGGATATCTAAAAAGATAATGAAAAGATGTAGCCTAAAAAAAAGTAAAAAGTTAATCATTAAATTGCTATAAGAGAATAATGATATAATAAAATACAAATCTAAAAATTTATCATAATAATTTAATAATATCTGAAAAAATAAACAATAAAGGAACCAATTTGATTTCTTTAATTATTCTGATATTCTTACTTAAATTGGTTCTAACATATTTTAAACATAATTTGTTAAAATACTAATTAATTTAAAATTAAACACAAAATGTAGCCACAATAATTTTTAGACTTAGTGCAATGTGCCTTCTTTGATAGCAATAATTAACGTGGATAGGCTGAATAAGTACTCTTAAAGTATAAGGATGAATGTACAGATGAATTTCTTATGTATTGTGCATCTGCATTTGCAAATCGCGCAATTTAGAATAGACTACGTATTGCATGCAGTACTTTAATAAAACGATTAGTTGGATTAGTTGTATGTTATCTTATTAATTAATTTTAAGCATCCTTCTAATTAAATCATGTGGTTAGCTTGTACTTAAAATACTAAAAATGAAGTAAAAATTAAGTTCATGGATTAATTAATTGATCCTGAACATGAGATTAGAAGATCAGCTGCTAATGTAAATATATTAATTTTATATACTAGACTATAAGTGAGATTTGTGCTATTGAATTACCACGTTAAGAATGGCCAGATCTTATCTCAAGATTGACTACTAATTCTAAACATAGTAATGTTTTAGTAAAAGTATCTGCTATAATGACTTTGGGATATATTTGTGAATCACTTGTATTTAGATATATTATAAATAGAAAAATCATTAATCTTCAGGTATATCAGAATAAGATGCAAAAGTTATTTTAATGGGAATATGTGTAGGGATGGATATCAATGAATAGAATGTAGAAATTAGAATTACTGCAATCAAAGCATTATAAGATTCACTATATTTTATGAATAATCTATTTACTTAATAAGTATAGATTACAATATTCTATTATAGGAAATATTTACTTTTGTTAAAAACTTAATTTTATAAAATGCTATGTCAAACATATAAGAGATTAAACTTAAATCTCTTTAATGTTTAATTGATTATGTTAAATAATTGTTTGCATTCTTACCTGTATTTATTTCAGATTTATATTAAACAACATAATCTGCTTTTGAAAATTAAGGAGAAGTTACTATTGCAGCTATAGAAATTTGGAATACAATTTGTGCAGAAATTAAAGAAATAATAACTGAGAATACTAATTAATAAACACCTGAAACTAATTCTGTTGATTGTTGTGTTTAATTTTTTAAGAAAAATTATGAAGGATTTATTATACCATTTATGCGTAATCTATTATTGGATGATGGAGATGCAGAAGATGAATATCAAGGATTATCTGTCCCAAATTCTTCATGTAAAGGTTTAGCATATATAATTGAATTTGCTGGTAATAATACTTATGATTCTGTTAAAAATTTTATATAAAATACTATTACACATTAATAATGGGAATATAGAAAAGCAAGTGTTATGGCTTTTGGTGCATTAGCTGAAGTATAAACTGAAGAAATTGGAATTTTAATTAAATCTGCATTAACTAGTTTATTTGGTTGTCTTGTTGATTCAAATATTAAAGTAAAAAAAGCTACTACATAAACTTTAAGTAGAATTGCTGAAAATTATCCATAATGTTTTCATGAACATGATTAAGCTTAACAAATGCTTGTTACTCTTTTAGATTAATTATCTAATAAAATATCTATAGTATAAAATTTGGTTTGGGTCTTTGTTTATTTAACTGAAGGATTAGCTAATTTTCAAAATAGTGTTTTCACAAGAGAAAAATTCACTATTCTCTAACATCTAGCTAGTACATCAGTTAGACCAGATATAAAAAATTCAGAAATTGCACTTATTGATACTGCATTTATGGCAATATTAAATATCATTTATAGTGTAACTGAAACTAAATTATGTAATGATTATTTAGTGTAATTTTATCAACAAATTCAATTATTAGAAAATAGTAATTAAGTACCTATAGAAATTAAATATCATCTTGAAATGGGTTTAATGAGTGCCATGCATGGATGTGTTGTAAGATTAGATGATACTACAACTTCAGAGAAATAATTTGAAGACATTATGAAAACATTATCAAAAGTAGATTCTAGAGTTAAAAATGATTACTTTTATGTACTTTCTGGAATTGCTTATGCATTTAAAAAGAAATTAACTAAATATTCTACTTAAATAATTTCTGAATTAAATAAACCACTTTCAGAACCAGAAGATATGGAGAGTTTTAAAACTGCACTCTTTTGTTTATCTGATATTGCTAGAGCCATGGAAGAAGAATTTGTTCCATATATGAATATTTTAAATTATTTCTTTGGATTAATAAAAGTATTTTAATTTTATTATTTTAATTAGAATGGTAGTTTCAATAGAGAATTGAAAATATAAGTTTATAATGCAATTGCAGATATCATATTAGGTTTAAAAGATAAATCAACTCCATTTATGAATGATCTTAAAGAAATACTTAAATTAGGATTTGCTGCTAGTATAGATTTAACAAAGAGCAAATTAAGTGTTGACTAAGATTATGCTGAAAGATTGAAAGAGACAATGACAGCATTCTATACTTGTATGTTACATGCATATTGTGATCCAAAAACTCCTATTTTTGAATTAGGAGACACTGTTTAATGGTTTATCATATTTTGTTAAGAAATGTGTAATCTAAAATTAAAACCTACTATAGTAAATATAAATCTTATCAATATAGGAATATGTAAGATTAACTCTTTGTTGTATATTTGATTGCTCTCATTTCTTTTAAAATTTACCTGATATGAAATAAAAAATCAAAGAATTTATAACAAGTGATTTTGTTATTGAATTGATAAGAAAATTAAGTTAGTTTAATGATAAAGATTATCAAGATTGTGTAAGTTTTGCTTAGCAATTACTTAATGATGTATACGGTTACTAATTGAAATTATATTGAATGTTATTTTAATATTCTTGTTTTTCAATTGTTACAAAATTTAATTAAAATATTTATCATATTATTTTATTAATTGTTGATTCTATTAGTATGTTATTTAAATTCATTTTCAAAGAAGAACAATATAAAATTAGAATTGTTATATTATATTAGATATTTATATAAATATTCTCAAATTGTGTCTGATTAAATGATCTTTTGGGTTTTATCTACAGAATCTCCAATTTAATCATCATCTCCTTTCTTTTCACTAACTTTTTCTGTCTTACTTCCTGCTCCACCTCCAGCAGCTAATTAATTAATAATTTATTATTACCCATTGGTAGAATACTGTTTACTACAGCTCCAAATGTACCACCTAGAGCAAAGGCCTAAATTCCCAAGAAAATAAAGATAAATATTAGTAATAGGATTATTGCTCCTTATATTAAGAGCATAGTTAATAATCCTGGAGAAATTCCTAGAAAATCTAATGCCATATCTGTATTCTTTTATTAGAGATATTTCATGGCCTAATCAAATTCTTTTTCATTTAAAGAATCCTAATTGGCTGAGGAAGAACCCTTTTTAATATTTGCAAAGATTTCATTAATTCTATGCTCAGATAAATTCATTCCTAATCTCTTTGCTAATGTTCCATATTCTGTCTTACTAATACTTTTAGTTCCATCCTCTAAAATAATATATTTAATATAAATTACCATCTATAGCTTTAAACATATCTTAATTAGTAGCTGTTCCTTCTTGTATCTTTTTCATTAACTCTTATATTTCTTTAGCTTTTTTTGGATCTTATTATGATCCACCTATGCTTAATTATTTACCTCCAAATACACCCATTTCTTAAACTTATTTAATTATTTATTCAACAATCTTTATTGCACTGTCACTAACAGATAATTCTTTTAATAATTTTGGTACATATTCAAAATTGTAACTAGCCAAACCGAAAATACATTTGATCACTCCCATAGGCAATTCAATTATTTTAGCTCTTTTAGGTAATGCTATTGTCCATTGATCAGATTTTGATGCTTGCTTATCTTTTTATTAATTATTTCCACCTTTTTATTTCTTTTCCTTAACGTCATTGTTAGGATCTTGACCAGTTAAAGTATATAATAAAGATTCAATTTAGAATAAAAAGTCTTAATTAGTAATAGACTTTAATGGACAGTTGTTAATATTCTATATTTCTTAGAATAATTCACGAATAATAACTGTGTTCACATATTGTAATAGATTTAGATTCTTAAAGAGAACTGAATCAATAATGAAACACAAAACTTGAAGTTTCTTATCACTATCACTTTGAGCTTTCAAATCATCAATATTATATCCAGTTAATAATAAAATAATACCAGTAATCAATCGTTTTACTTAAGTTGATTATTCATCAATCTTAGTCAATTAAACTTATAATTCTTATAATTTCTTTGCTTTTTCTTAGAAATTGTAACCTTAGGGTACGATTGCCATAGATGGCATAATTTATTATTAATTACCCATTTGTAATTATTACATAGGAATTTATTATTAAATAGGCATTTATTATTATTATATTGGTATTTATTATTACATAGGCATTTATTATTATTACATAGGTATTTATTATTACATAACCATTTAAGGTTGTCCATTAATAGAAGTTCCTAATTATTATTACATGGGTATTTATTATGCTTATTATATTTGTTGTGGTTACATTATTTATGCTTGTGTTAACATTGGAAGTTAAGTACTTAATCTTTTTGATTAATCTTATTTTATTTAATTAGCTTTCTTTTCATTAATCTCTTTGTTGAGTTTATCTATTTAATCACTTAAAGATTATCTATTTTCTTCCTTAAAGCTTAACCATAAAGAATTAACAGTTTATCCTAATACATCTAAAATAAATTCATTAATTGTTTCAGTAATTTATGCTAAACCATCAGCAGGAGCATCTTCTAATTATTTTTTTTCTTCATTATCATTTTATTCATCATCTTCTTCATTATCTTCTTCTCCATCATCATCATTCTCATCATCATCATTTTGATATTCATCATCATCATCATAATTTTACTC